GCGGATGTCTCGGGGGTATGGCACAATGGAATCGATTTTTTAAAATGTCGACGCAGGTTCGAATCCACCGTATCCAGATGTTTTGTTTTTTTTWAAAAAAAAGCATAGTAGATAATTTTAAATTTTGAACTGATGATCTTTTTAGAAACAGCTAAGCAGTGACTTTTCCCTTTTTGCTCAAATACAGTATTACCGTTAATAGTCCCCTTCACAGTTCCCTGCGCCATCTTGAAAGGTAACCGTGCCTTTGCATTGAAGTGAGACGAACGGTGAGCTTGTAATAATAGAGACCGTTTTAATACCTTGAAAAATTATTCACATGTCTCTATCATTACAAGCTCACCGTTCGTCTCACTTCAATGCAAAGGCACGGTTACCTCTTAAGATGGTGCAGCGAACTGTGAAGGGGACTATTGGTAAGCAATCTTGATCGGAAACATCGAGTGCATTTCTCTGAATTGAACTGAATGCTACCTGGGAACAGTTTACTGACAAAAACTTTTACTTACTTGGTTTCGATTCTCGGTATTTTCTATTTATGGATATCCTTTCTGTGTATATCGCACTGTTACTATTGCATGTCTACAACAAGGGGCCAGCATTTCTCAAACTCCGCGCACGGAATCCACCTATCGTTTCTGTCCATGAACATGCCTCTTCCATTAAAACAACTGGGTGCTGTAATATTTGTGGAGAAAATTTCACAAACTGCCTGGCATTTAATCTATACCTTTCAGTCTGTAATCATGATCAATYTTTCAGTGTCACGAAGAGAGCTGTTCGTATTCTGTGCCGGGGAAAACAAACAAGACAAAACTATTTTGAAATCTATTAAGCTGAGGAGAAAGCTTGAAGTTTCCTTACAAAGCTACAATACTTTGATAAATCGATTAGAAATCCGTTTAAGTCGATAAATACTATAGTTCTAACCCATGCAGACGCTAAAGTGACGTAATATAGTGTATAGCCTCTAAGAAAAAATAAGAGTGTATTGTAGCCAAGATTTATAAACAATCAAATGAAATATATATGGGTCTTTTTGCATAAAGGTACATTACGGGCTTTGGGTTTTCGAAGTAGCAGAAGCGAGAAGATTCAAGATGAAGGCCAGCAAACCTCCCCTAGTGAATATCCGACAGCACTAAAAGTATAGAGTGTTTATCATATAACCGTGAAAAAGTAAACAAAATYGTACAAATTAGTGCAAAGTTTTGTAGGTCTATGGCCAACTGAGGTCTACCGTACTTACTTATTTGAGCAAATTTGTGCAATGTGCAATTTCTTACAAAGATTTTCACGGATATATGGTATGCTCTCTAACAAAATAGACAAAATAGTARGAAACAACAAAGTTATTATAGAAAAAGTGTTGGAAAATGTACAATATATATACACTTGAAATTTGCGATATTATAAGTATATTAATCTGCATTATTTATAATTTAATTGTGTTTACGAGCCTGTAGAYCCAACAGAATTTACGTCCAAACAAGTTTTGATATTCATGGCTGCTAGTTCAGCCACCAGATAGCGAAACACGTAAGGAAAAGCCAGTATTTGGATGTTGTCACTGGAGTTACACGACTTGCAGTACCATTTGCGGTCACCCTGTGCTGCTCCTGCTGTATGGGTGGGCTTCTCGAGAACAGAACTCAATAGACTGCCACACTTAGAACACACATGGCCCTTGGATAGCAAGATAGGAGAATTAATCAATGTTCATTAAAAAAAAATAGCGCGTTCTTTTATTTTTCGTTCGTTTGTACTTCTAAAGCACTTTTCGCATTAGCGAGAAACGATACGAGAAATTCATATCCGTACGGGAAAGCCCTTTTAATTAAGATTCTCGTTTACGGCAAACGTGAAACGTCAGTTGACCATTAAAAAATTCTTTATAATTAGTGAAAAGGAATCGAAAAAATATCCAAGTAGTAGATAAACAAAAGAATAATTGTGTTTGTCGAGAAGGCTTGCAAAAGGTAAAGTGAAATGTAGGGAAACGATGAAAACGTGGTCACGTTTGCAGTTTGCGGGAATGAAACACGGGAATCTTAATCTGCCTAATGTTACGGCATGTTGTAACGTGTGCGTGGAACGTGTAAGTCAGAATCGAATGTTTCCCACTCATAAAAACCGGCTCTAATAGTACAAAGTATGGATTTCAGTTGATTTGCGCAGAGAATTTGACAAGCACTGAGTGTCAGACCGTTAGTTTGATCATATAGATTCTCAACAAACTGGTGACACGCTTTCTGCCTCCAGTAAAACACCAAAGACAGTCACATGACACCTTGATGAGAACCAATCAGATGACACGCATAACGAAGACGTCATCATTCACTCGTGTAATATTCAAATACATTTTGTCATTTTTCACCGCTAGTATATGTTTTAAAAGCCTTTATAGAACCTGATGATTTTCATAGAAACATGTTTTTCTTTAACAGATCAAAAAAAAGCAAAGTCTAAGTAAATTCTCCCTACGTGCCGTCTTATTCAAACTGACCAATGAGCGCGCGCGATAGATTAAAAATGACGATAGCGTGTTTTGATACTCTCATCAAACATGGTTTTCAACCAATCCTAGCGCGCGTAGTATACCAATTATTTTATAATCCTAATTCAAAGGTGTTTCGTATCTTACCACGGTTCTGTCCGAGCAGTTCATTAGTCGATCCTGCAGTAAAAACGACGTCCCATGGGCAAGCAGCGCATCTCTTTCCATTTCACCAAAACGAATACCTCCTTGTTTCTTTCGACCCTGTTTAACACAAATACGGAACAATAAGCCTGAAGCGAGATGACGTTTTACCCCCGACTCTATACCATAATAGTTTTTAAAATTCTTTCATATTCAAATTTTTGATTCCTTAGAGAATACAGGAACAATAGTCATAATTAAAGAACAAAAGCAATGTGAAAAGGATTATGGTCTAGAGACGGGGGTAAAACGTCATCTCGCTTCAGGCTTATTCATCTCTAAACTTGTTTTAAGGAAGAGCGCACTTTTCCAGCAAATGCTATAAATTTGATTGACTAAAAACAACGTGAGATTGTGAAAACGGCTTTAAGTCGCGAAGTCTCAGATCAAACGTCGAACTTCACATGAGCCGAACCTAATAAGCCTTTTCATAGTTTAAGAATCGTTTCCACTGCGCATGCGATTTTATCCCGAATTTCTCACCTTCTTTTGTTTAATTAAGAACAAGAGAAGGTTTAGACAAAAGAAGGTGAGAAATTCGGGATAAAATCGCATGCGCAGTGGAATCGATTCTTAAACTATGAAAAGGCTTATTGAAACTATGGATAACGAGGCGGTCTTCTTTGATGTCATTAGGTTCGGCTCACGTGAAGTTCGAAGTTTGACAAGAGCCTAAAATAAATTTCTCGAGCGCTACTGCTGTAACCGTATCGGTCTAAACTTTCAGTTCCATCTAACAGATACAAGAGCATGTCATCTTACCTGTACTGGTTGATGAGTAAGTATATCTATAGGTCCCGTTGTTCGAACCTAAATTGAATGAAAGTAATGAAAAAATTGCTTAATATAATCGATTAGGAAACTATGGAGTTACTGAAATTGATAAAGTTTTCCATCATCAAGAAGTCGGGGGAATTCTGTTTAGTTCTTCTGTAATGTTCTCAATAACTCCTCGTAATTCTTGTCGCCATTATAAGAAAGTAAAGAGATTTAGTGTATAGCAAATATGATGTCTTGATAAGAGCGTGAACCTCGAAGACGACGGCGCTTACATGGGAAGGAAGGTACTTTCGAGGTGGTCTTGTTATTGCACACAGAAAAGATAGAGGGAGAAAGTCAGGAGTATCAGAATGACTTCTTAATCATGAAGCGGACTCCCGTTGATGAGAACCACTCATAACGATAACGCATAAAATGTCTCATCATTTTCTCCTGATAACTTTAATTATAACAATAATTATAAAAGCATTCGGATGAAGTTCACTTCAACTGACCTGGAACTTATCAGCAACCATGTGTCTGAGTCTTTGATAATACACCACACCCATGAAGATGTCTGCTTCGAACTCCCGTCCATCAATACCACTGTATAATCTCTCTGTTCCAAAGTAGTCATACCCGGCTGTAACAACAGATCACTATTCAAATATTTGGTTGATTGTATTCAGTGAGAGCGACCCTGACAACCTTACTAGACGTTGCACATTTTCTGACATTTTGGCTCCCGTCAAAATTCGCTGTGATCTGAGGTCAGGGGTAGCAATTCTTATTCTTTTAATTGACGGAAGGCAAAAATAATGATTTCTAGAAGTTGTGAAACACAGCAAAAGTATAACTGCTCTACCAAAGGTAGCCTCCTTCGCAGACGTTGTTAGGGTCGTCACGCAACGCTTCTTTCCGGTGGGGAGAGAAGCGTTGCGTGTCGACGACCCTAACAACGTCTGCGAAAGTACAAGCAGGCAGCAAATATAAAGCTTTTTTTCAAAAATTGCAGCGTCATATTTGCTAAATCTGTCTTTGCGCAGGACAAGAACATCAGGAGTATCAGATTGTTATCTTAATCAAGACTCTCATTGACGAGAGGCACTCATAACGATAACGCATAAAATGTCTCATCATTTGCTCCTGATAACATTAATTATGCCAATAATAATTGTTGGTATTCGGCACACCATTCACCGTTCTCAAAATGGCCGATAAGTGCACGAAAACGAGGTCACCCGGTCATTGGTTCAAGATAAAACATAAAAAGCACATGAAATGCGTCTATAAAAGAAAAGTATAGAAATTCACCTTTTGTTTTGAACTGAATTCGCGCTCTCCACCTTTATTTTGAATAAGCACCCTAGATGACCTCATTTTCGTGCGCTCGTCAGCCATTATGAGAACGGCGTATAGTTCTTACGTGGCATTTATCTGTGACTGTATATATTTTGGTCGAGCTTTCAACCCGATTGAACAGGTCCCCCAAACTTCGAATTAGGATTTGGAAGTTGATTTCTCTGAAGGAGTAAAAACGGACTCAACCCTCGATGCACATGAGAGAAGATGAATCTACTCAATTATAATGGTAGGTCTGAGGATTGACCACAGCGCGCTATGACAGGCAACGCATCAACAGCGCACACCATGCGGCAACTTTCCGCAACATATTTGCTGTTGCGTGACATTGTTATCGCTTTTACTGCGCGACATGACACACCGACGTTGGAGTTTTCTCTGGTTGTATTAAAAAGGTTGGCAGCGCGAGAAAAATATATCTATCGGTGAATTAAGGAAACTTACATTTGACTAACAGCTTTCCAAAATAATCGATCGCAGAATCATCTTCTGAAAACTGAAAGGGCGTGGCGTCGTACACGTGACCATTGAGACTGGCCGATTTTCCCGCCATGCTTTCAATCATCATACCTGAAGGAAACCACAAAACAACAACATCAATTTAATAACTTATGCAGTGAATGGCAACTTGAGCTTATGAAGAGAAGAATCTGTTTGATTATGAGTAACGCAAGGTAGAGGCATGTAATGCCATGACTGTGAAGGTGCTGTGACTCAGTATTGGAAAAGGAGGAACATTAATCTCTTGTATTATTATTGATTTAATGGATGCCATTTGTTCTGTACCGTGACCGCCCTATGTGACGTGACTGTGACATGACTGTGAAGGTGCTGTGATTCAGTATTGGAAACGAAGGAACATTAATCTCTTGTATTATTATTGATTTAATGGATGCCATTTGTTCTATATTGTGACGTGACTGTGACATGACTGTGAAGATGCTGTGACTCAGTATTGGAAACGGGATGTCATTTGTTCTGTACCGTGACCGTACTATGTGACGTGACTGTGACATGACTGTGAAGGTGCTGTGACTCGGTATTGGGATCGGAAGAACATTAATGCGTTTCTTACCTATTGTCATACGGGATGGAAATCCATGAGGGTTGAATATAATATCCGGTGTCATACCAGACTCTGAGAAGGGCATATTCTCCGCTGGCCATTTTTGGCTGTCGAAATAAATAAAAGCCGAGGTGCTAATTTATGGGTAGGACTATAATTCGTAAAAGGGGACCCTGAGGCAGTGGGCATGGGGGTCCTGACCACCTGGGCTAGTTTCAAACTGGTTCTTTTTCATCAAGTTTCCCTTCATGTGGATTATCTGGTCTTACCTGCATATTCCCTTTTGCCCGTGTCTACTTGAAAACTTGTCACCAATAATAGGGTTTCTCTGAAAGATCAAATTTCCTAAATCATTCAATAATCACATCTCTTCCCGCTCATCAGTAAAATAAGAGTAGGGACACCTGTCGAGTAAACTGGTTGATGATAAAATCTACGATGCACTTATCGATCATTGTGAGTGTCAGACCGTTAGTTTGATCATATAGATTCTCAACAAACTGGTGACACGCTTTCTGCCTCCGGTAAAACACCAAAGACAGTCACATGACACCTTGATGAGAACCAATCAGATGACACGCATAACGAAGACGTCATCATTCACTCAACTTATAATCAAATTCATTTTGTCGATTTTGTCAATTTTTTAATTCTTAAGGGGTCTGCGTTTCGATTGCAGATCAAGCATTGACTGGCATTTTGACCGTTCACAGCAATAAGATGAAAGACCGACATCATGTAAGGCCTTTTAGGCCAAACAAAAAAATAAGTGTGTTTCCTGTTGCATGAGAAAAATAACTGAGGTCGGTAGGTTCGTTGTTTTTTTTTACTGATACAAGAGTGGAATGAGCTTACTGGAACCCTGTGGTGCATTTGGGAATGAAAAAGATATTAGGGTCGGCAAACACCGGCCAGAAAATTAGGGTCGGTCGCGCAACAGGAAACACTCTTTTTTTTTGTTTGGCCTTATTATCATTTTGAGCTGCACATTGTTGCAATAGTTCCTTCGTCACTCAAATAATACTCTTAGAAAAAAAAAGAAATTATCATGGAATTTGAAATTTGCATTAAATTCTGAGGATTGAATGAACAATATGAATAAGACTTTCAGGACAAAAAAAACAACAAGGACAAAACAACTTTCATTTCTAACTTCCCCTGATGAGATGCTGTTACTCTCATTATCATAATGAAAGTAAAACTTTGAAAACTTATGATGCATCACTAAAAACGAGAAAAGTTTTATCATTTAACCATATAAACTTCACGTCCGTAGAATCTATACTAGAAGTACTAAATCTGAGGTTATGGGCACTAAAACGTTTGTGCTATAAAGTTTAGGCTTTGTGCTAGAAATANAAAAAAAAAAACACCAGGGCAAAGCTAAGAATTACATGCTTATTTTATTCAATGGATCTGTTGCTTCCTTTCCTCAGCACAAAACTTTAGAAATATTGTTTAAAAAAGTAACTGATATCATCTCTTTGAGCATAGATTCAACAGTGCAGATTAATGAATTGTTAACAAAAATAGATCTGGCTATGACAGTTAACAATAATGGAATAAAAACTCAAAAGTGTCACAGAACAAATAACTGGACTAACACAGTACGTATGTCGAGAAAACCAGATCGTTCGGTTTTAAAATATTCTCTAAGGGTTTTCTTCTCGTCAAATATTTTTTTAAAAACGATAACTGGATTCAAAACCTGCCGCAACGAGCACATAATGGCATTCCAGGGTAGAACGCGGGCTCCATGGAATCGCCAAAGCAAAAGCTTGCACCACTTGAGCTTGAGAAGGAAACAYCCATCTGCTTTGGCATGGTATGCCAGCCACAACAAGAAGTGTATCTTAACTCCTTAAAGCCAGTTAATACAAATGCTCCTTCTACTATCGCCGTAAAAAAGTTTTGGATCTGGGAACTCTCTTCCAATCCATAGCGACACCAGCGAGCGAAATGTTCGCAGTTCTTTGTAAACACGTTGTATCCCTTCAATTCAATTTTGGAGTGAGCTCTTGTGATAATTTCGCCAACTGGTAGGGGAGCTTTGCCCTTGTAGTCACCCCTCTCAACTTGAATTGTATCTGTCTCTTTGGCAAAGTCGCAGAATTTTACCTTTTTGATTTGGACGGACTTCGCACTTGAGCAAATACAACGACATGGATCACTACTTTGTAAGTCTTCAGCCAGGGAAGTAACGTGGACGATGTAGCCATTTTCAACAACAACGGCGTAATGATCGTACAAAATACCGAATCGTGTGAATTTCAACAAGTCACCCGGCGAGCCTGGGCAAGCAAGTTTGCTATTCGACATATTTTAGGATAAGTAAAGTGAAAATTAAGTGTTCCTCTCCTTCTAAAACCGACTCAATAAAGAGAGGCTTCTGGGAATTTACGGATGAACGAACTCTATCAGGTCAGAAAAGGTCTACAAACTATCCACATATGTCGAAAACCTCTTTGTGCTGACGTAAAAACATAGAAAGTACCTCTTTAAACTTGTTTTCCAAACCCTTACCGCAGCTCTTTTGTTACTCGGTCTTCCATGACAATTTTTTTTCCAATAGCGTTTCTGAGAATTTCATAGTTCAACGATTAAGGTCTGCGAAAGGTTTTCGGCCAAAACATACGAAACGCGAAACTAAACTGATTTTAGCTAAGAAAGGCGCCCTTATAGTATTAATGATTCCCATTATAGAATAACGATGTGTGTGATAACATAAAAACGTGAATGGCAGTGTTGATCATGGAAATTATAGAAATAGGACCTTGGACAATTATCATCACAAGTAATTCATACTCAAGGGATTGGTACTACTTGTACAGTAAGTGACTCGCCTATATTTTCTCTCTGTTCTCTCTTGAATGTCCAGCCGTATTGTCCTTATAACTGCGTGAATAAAAACGATATCTCACCTGTATTCGCAACTTTATACACACTTTGGTCAACGGTTTATCGCCCATTTCGTTGCCGAGAATTTTAACCTAGTGAGAAGTAATAAATAATTAATATTTTAGTTTGTGCATAAAAAAGTACACCTTTGTGTGTTAGCAGCCCTCCTTCTAGCTGCCACCAAGGGATCGGGCTAAATTAGAGTGGGAGGACTGGTGCATTTTTGCATTTGATCTGCATATTTTTCTGCTCTATAAACATTGTCGGACCCTTATAATATAGTAACTCCCTCAAAGGCTTGCAAAAATGTTTGTGACCTTCCATTTCAGTTTGCATGGAATATAATGACCCCCCCCCCCCCCCCCCTCCCCCCCCCCCCCCCCCCCCCCCCAATTTGCACCAGCCCTGTCACCTCTCGTTAATGAACAGTCCCTAACCACAATGAAAAGCCAGCCCGAGAAATGTTCTGTAGATCAGGGTGTAACTTGACTTATATATTAGCATGGATCACACATCTAAACAAAATCCTTAGCACGATTTTGACGATCCTTGCTGTATGACGCTCCTTTAGCGGAAGAATGTCACCCTCCATTTTAACTTAGTTGTCCAAATTTTCAAGACCTTTTTCAAGAATGTCAGTTAAATTTTGCCAAATGTGAGTAGAGTTGTTTGTTGTTAAATATATCACTTACGTCATCGATAATACAAGGTTCCAAATTAGTGTACTTCTTGATGGTAGCTTCACCAGTGGTATTGTCGATGTAGCTAATCAATAGACAAAGAAATAAACTTAAGCTGTGCTCTACTTCCACAAACCCTATGACTAGATAGTTGATAGATAGATAATTTGTAACACCGTATGGTATGTAAAAATGAAACTGACGTTTCGGACGTTAGTCCTTCATCGGAGTAAACGAGAGATGGATGTGGAAATGTGTTTATATAGTGAGCGTGGATGATAAATAACCAATGAGAGATAAGTATAAGGGAAAACAAAATGAAACAAGAGGATCGAAAGTAACAATAGACTAATCAAACGAGAAGCGTTCGTTCATGCCAAGGGGATTAAGCGTGCCCAAGGTGTGAATTAGCCTCATTTCTTTAGTTTTGCGGCAATCGTTACCGCCTTTAATTAGGGATAAGCCGAATACAACAAAATCAGAAATGGAATGGTCGGTAGAATTAAAATGACGGGACACTGGTTTGGAAGAGTCGTTTTTCCGAATATCATTGAGGTGATCGAACGCTTCTCGTTTAATTAGTCTATTGTTATTTTCGATCCTCTTGTTTCCCCTTATACTTATCTCTCATTGGTTATTTATCATCCACGCTCACTATATAAACACATTTCCACATCCATCTCTCGTTTACTCCGATGAAGGACTAACGTCCGAAACGTCAGTTTCATTTTTACATACCATACGGTGTTACAAATTATCTATCTATCAACTGTTTTACTGAAAACACCGACGCAGTTTACACTAGTTTTCACTAGTTTTCCACCCTATGACTAGATATATAGGAAATGCTAAAAAGCAGGTAAAAGGGTGGCGTAGGGGTAAAATGTTTGCCTTTCACCAATGTGAGTCCCATAGGCCTCTGAGTTCAATAAACAGGATGCATTGTGGTCTAGATTCGTTACAAACAACACCATATAAGGCATGATGTTTGTACCGAAGCTAGACCACAATGCACCATGTTCGCTATCTCAAAAAAGGTCTATGGGTTGGGTCGTGTGTTTGATTCCTGTGGGCGCTATTTCGCAATCAGTCTTCGAGCCCAAATATGCCACGAGGAAATAGCCTGTGAGGCCGAAGGCCAATATGTATGAATGCAAACAAGTTTGAAATTAAAGTTGAATTGAATATTTTGGTTTTTTAAAGCCAGTACTTTTCACTACTAGTAGGATATAATTTATAGCCTAGTAGTAGCTCATCCAATCAGAACACAGCATCAATGATAGGCCACTGAATATCGTGAATAACGTTTGTTTAATGTGTTGTTCTCTCCCTTGCCACAAGGGTTTTTCTCTGGGTTCGCTGGTTTCCATCCCTTTGTAAGCGCAATTATGAGTTGAGAGTGGTGTGCTTAAAACATTTAATGTAGTGGTAGTGAGTGTGCAGTGTGTCGCGTATACTTTAACCTTAGCCTCTGGCGAGGAAGACTGGGCATAATCTTYCTAACCAACTACAGCAATGCAAGCAATCAATGAATTAATTAATCGCACTCCTTTGAACCAATCAGATTGCAGAATTTGGTAGTGATTACAAAAAGGATGTGATTAACTCATAAATTGAACTAAACTTAATAACTCATTTATAAGATTAATTTAAAGTTTAATGTAGCTAAGGGATAATAGCTATTTAAGACTGTTGGTTGCTCTTTGAGCATTAATCGTGGTACCTGTAGAAAGGGTCTCCATTTTCTAGCTTTGATCCTATTGGTGGAAGTCCATCCGAGTCCAATCTTCCTTCTGTACGAGCATCATTTGGAAGACAGCCTGGTAAAAAGATTTTTAAAAGTTATTTACAGTAGTAAAAAATCTTTGTCCTTATGAATCAATATGGTCTTAATGCTAGAAGATTTTTAAATGAGCTTGCTTACCAAATTGTAAATTACTTGTTTGTTTTTCATTTTTTGGCTTAAGGTCTACAAACTGTGCTTTATAGATGGATCCGTGGGCAAAGCCTCTTTCATATGATGATTTGTTGAGTATCATTGCATCTTCCATGTCATATCCCTGTGTCCAGAAAAGAAAGAAACACATTAGTTTTATCACAGAGTGAAACGACTGTCTTGGTTAATCTAAGTCAGGGCATGGCTAACTCACAGATTGTACCCTGAAACAACTTCTGGGATGATCTAAGTCAGGGCATGCCTCAATCAAAGATCATACCCTGAAACAACCTCTGGGTTGATCATCACTATCATCACTACATTTATCCCAGAGCCCAGAGTTCCCCCCCCCCCCTCCTCCCCCCAAGCCAAAAATAGTTTCCTTAATTAGCAATCATGTTTTTTGGTCTGCCACCAGGGAGGGTTTATATAATTGAAAGTAAAAATGTTGATAAAGGAAGTAAATGATATTTTGACCCAAGGGTTGGGTGAAGTTTGACATATTCTGCTGGTACAGGGTGATGTCTAACATTTCACTGAATTTGTTTAGAGCTAACCAAATTTGATAGTAGCAAAACCAGTTTACACTACCTACCGTATAAGATATGACAGCAACTATAGCATTAGTACCAAGGGGGTAATTATCCATGCAGTATTCATCGTGAGTAGTGGGTCGAACCAGAGGACTTTGAGGAGTCTAAGAATAAGGCATTCAAGAAATATTTGAGCACATTGGGAAACTCATCAACTATAATCAGCAACTACACTTAATAACAACTACACTTTTAAAATAATAACTACACTAATAATAACTGATAATGATAATAACATTGACGACGATGACAATGAGGATGATGATGATGATAATAATAATAATAACAATGACAACTAAACTGTCATCATTAAGACATTACCTGTATTCTGTATAATTTGTTATCAGTTCTGTGTTTAAATGCTTGTACAGGAGTACCCATGGTCTGTTTACCCATCTACGATAAAACACCAATCAAGAAATAAATGCTAGACTACTAACAGCGTAAACAATAATGGACCGTTTTCTCAAGGTTGCGTGCTCATCCAAATTCAAGGAACTTGAAGGGCCACTATACCAGAACACGAGTATTTATAATCATGCATTGCTATGAACTTTTTTCCGATAACAATTCATAAAATTTATTATTCTCCTCTCTAAATATAAAACTGGSTTCTCAATTTTACTGAATTTGCGTTTTTAAGTTTTGTGGCCCRTCAAGTTGGACCAGTTGGATGCGCATGCAACCTCGAGAAAATGATCTATGGACTGCTTTTTCAAAGATACATTTGTTTGATGATGTAGATAAAAACATTTTCACCATGATTGGAAAATGTTCTTTAATTATCAGTGCATCAGTTCTACTTTATCCTCCATATGAAACCCTTCACACAACAAGACCATATGAGGGTGCAGAAGGAGGAACAAAAAGAATGAAAGGCTGTCAAAGCCTACTATACAGAGATGTTTACATCTAAGAGGAGTTCTGGATACAAACACTGTTCTCTTTAACCACAATAAACTTTTCCATCTTGGATATAATGCTTTAACATTTCAGGTGTCATTCCCTCAAGAATTCCTTTTTTGTTTGCTAATACTGCTTGAACTGAAAGAACGAGACAAGGTGGGATGGACAAAGTAGAATGTGGCTAAAGTGGTGGTACAGAGCAGAGTTGGTTGGGAAAATAGTGTGCCTGCATTATGTACTTCCTGGTGTGACAAGTGATCTGCTGGTCATTTTACTTCCCATCAAATTATGCTGTGCATTAAGCAAAGGATCTTACTTCAAGGGAATGACATTAGTTTGAAATGTGAAGCATTTATGCCCAAAGTAAGACACTCTAACTCACCTGACATTGGTACATGTTCCTTGGACTTTGGTTGAAGTCAGAGAATGGTGTCATACTGGCTACAGCACTCAGCATTGCTGTTTGTTTTATTTCCAAGTGTGTGGTAATCTATCAGTGCACAAAAATAATTAAAAAAGTACTCCTGGTTACCCATCAAGAGAATCAAGAGTGGCATAGTGGTAGTGAACTTGCCCCTGTCTCTAGGGTTCTGGTTTGATTCCTGGACTTGGCATCATATTGTTATAGAAATATAGATAAGTTATAGTGCTTGGGAATAACCTCGGAATAACGCCCGGAATAACCTTGTTCCAACCTTGCAAGGTTTGATAAGGTTTTTTTAATGGTTTTTGAACCATCAGTTTTAAAGTACCCTTCAGGAAGTATGTTAGCCTTACCCCTTGGTGTATTTCATCCTTGATAATTGCAATATCCATATAAACCTAAAATTACAGCAATTACAAAAACTCACTGTCAAAGAATGTTGCTTTTGGGAAATGGGAAGCAAAGAAAATGAAATGAACCTTCCCATGTTCATTAACTCAGGGCACTTTCCATAAATCAAACTTTATCAGTCCGAGCGGTCACTTCTTAAACTGGTTTGGGCCGCATGCAATTTATTTGAAAACTGGCTGCTTGGCCGATCATTTTGATTTAATGGAAAGTGCCCTCAGTCTGGCTAAGGTCATAAATTGGATGAGAATGACAAAACTAAATCCTGATGACTGGCAATGATGGAACCCACATATCATCCAAGAGACTAGTACACCATTTGGTAACCTTTTAACAGTCAAGTGATATATTTTAAGAAGTGGATCAGTCTCTAGATATAATATTTGCTAACTGAAAACATTATACCTGCTCAAAGGTACCGATCATTTCAACTTTTCCAGTTGCAAGATGAATCACTGGTCTCATCATTCTTGCAGGTTTGGTAAAGATGAAGAGAGCAGGATACTGACTGGCAACATTTGTCTTTGGCACCAGACATACTTCTATCAGAGGTGGCACCTAGATTAAAAATACAAGAGGATATTATAATATAGGAAAAAGAAAAAGATTACAATTTTATTTTGGAGTTTTCTAGCATGTTTGTTTTATTGGTGACTGTGTTCATCAGAATAATGGAGGCAAAAAGATGAAAAGGCAGTATATAGTGGGAAGCTATAAATGTGAGGAGCTGTGAAAACAATGGTAGTGAAAGTTATTGTTTCCATTAGTAGGATTGAGGTACATAGCATGAAGGTGCTAGTTCGTTAAGTTGGTGAAGTTGTTGGGTTGTTTGTAGAAAAAAATAACACAGCTTCTTGGAAAGAGGATATTTTTGCCAGGTTCATGAGAGTACAGTGTCTTAATTTAGTTATCATACAGACACCAGTAAAGCATACCCTTTCTTGTCCTAGGACCTTCATTACTCTCAGTTTGTTTTCCAAGGATGGTGCCAAGTCCCTGTCCACATTCCCGAGGACACGCCCATCCATCACCACAGGGTAGTAGTCTTTAGGGTCTCCCGGCAGGGGAGCGTCATGGGGAATCATTCCAAGGGTGCAAAGCAAACGATGTAAATGTGCAACAGGTGCCAGTACATTAACAATCTGGAGTTTTGAAAAAGGAATCTGAATTTTTATTCTGAACCATTTTATTGATATTGAAGTGTATATTTTGGTAAAATTATAATCAGTATTTAAGGTAAAATTGAGATAACTGGGATAGCTAAGCCAGGGGGAACCCTGTAAACAACCCTCAAAGCAGAACAGTGAAATGAGGCATTACTCAGAAAAGCCTAAGCTAGAGGCTTATGGGGGCCGAGGTCTTAGCATGTATTATCATAAAACTGGGTCACCACTTCTGTAACGTATACAAGCCAAGATTTGGTCCACTAGCTACATTTCACGAACCAAAAGGTAGGTAATCTAAGCTTCTTCCAAAGACAAATAACTAATAGAATAAATTCAGTGATCACCTCACATGCCGCAGCAAGATGGTTCAGTAATCCACAAGGTGCACCATCAGGTGTATGGACTGGACACAGGAAACCTGGAAAATAATGTAAAGTCATCAATATTTACAAACCAGTAAGTACTTCATCAGAAAAAAATAACAGAAGACCATGAATATTCTTTTTATAGAAGTAAAGGTCATTGCTACCATCTATAAATTTTAAATTGCTTCACATTASGAAAATGGAAAGTCAATTGATTTAAAAAGAAATGTGTCAGAGGTAGTAGGAGACGAGAAGTAATTGCTTAACTGTTATACATGTACCATGTCTTCTGAAATGTTGAATTGGAATGACATTCCAGTGCTTTTTAATTTATTAAATAATCCATGTGGTATGAATTTGCTAACATAATGAACTAACCCCATGCCTCAGGTAGTAATTTTCTGACAGACGTTGTCCTCATCTGGGAGAAAAAAGCTCCTCTGTGCACACAACGGAAATGCGAAATGAAACGAAACACGTTTAACCTGTCTGCCACTACAGTAAAGCCTGAAACCTGCAAAAAATATACATATATATAGTAAATTAAATATTATTATTTGATTAGATTAAGGTGGCTTGATGGAAACAAATAGCCTGTCTTAGGTGCATCATTAAATTTGATTCTCATGCGATTGCTCTGAAACTTTCAAAGATGGTCACATATTCAATATAAAAATCAGTGTAAGGAACACCTCTGTYCATATATATCAGAAGAAGTTTGTTAAAAGAGTATCTCACCTGGAGTAATGCAAGCCCAGATCTAGATATGAGATTCCCTGTAGCCATTAGATATTCCATTTGATGAGTGATGTTACTTGAGTGAGCAATAGCAGCTAAAACAGAAGCTGGTAAATGAAGAGAGAAAAACACATCATCGACCAGTTCATATTTACTAACTAAAGACATGCTTCTTAATCTTTTAAACTTTCATTCACCATATGAAAACTGGAAAAAATAATGTCCACTGAAAACAAGAATTATAATTAAATCTAATGAGCCTTACCAGAGTTCACAACAAACTGTCTGGGTTTTACTTTTGATGCTTTGGTGAGGTTCGATGCAACTATTTGTAGCCACTGTTCTAACTTCTCCTACACAATGATGAAAATGTGTAGAAACAAAATCTTTAATATTAATTTCAGTTTTAAAAGCAAGAAGGAGGCAGTGAGACAAGAAGGCAGATAGACAAGCAAAAAAAGAGTATGTGACAAAAATGGAAAAGAATAAATGAAAGAATCATTGTTGGCATACTGGTGCATTTGTTTGTCACTTCTGGGATCTTGGATTTAAATCCTTGACTTGGCATCATCAAATATAAAGGCTGGTTTAGACGGTACGATTTCCGTCTAAAACTATCGTATACRACACGCTTGCGCCATCCAACAACTGGAGTCGTGGTGTGTAAATCAGGCCTGCAACTTGCCTACGACAGACGCGAGCGTGTTGTATACGATTGTTGTAGACGAAAATCACACGGTCTAAATCGGCCTTAAACAGGGTTTGTTGGCTCTTGATTTAAGTCTTTTCCATGGTCTTTTTTGATGTTGTCATCATCCTCACTAAAACCCATGCATAAGCCATGCGTGTCTTGTCTTATGTCAGCCCAGAGTTTGTTCTAAATTGGTTATTGGAGCAGAGACAAAGGAAAAATAAAGAGACAATAACAGCAGGGAAGGAAACATTAGCTACCTTCAAGACCATAAGATACAAGTGTCCGCCCAGAAGAACCTCTTGCATCATGGGACTGTCTGCAGATTCAGGCGCACATTTTCCCAAGGCCAAGGAATAGAGCTTCCGTGTCATGAAACTGCATCATTTAGATAAATGAAAAATCTCAGTTATTTATAGCTCACTGACTAGAGGACATTAGATAAATTAGTAGAATAATCAATGGAAGATGGTTAGTGAGGTCCATTCACTTAAGGCTAGACACCCCATTCTTTGCAGTACTGCTTGTGAAGGGGGAAATTGTACTGTATTTTCACCACTGTGACGTTGTACAGGTCGTGCCACACTAAGGTAACATCTCATGTCTGTGCTATAATATTTACTAGACACCCTGTTCTTTGCAATGCTAATATCTTACGTAAGCATGTTGAATTTATCCAAGTTTGCTTCTAGATGGACACATACACATTGCCTATGAAATTAAAAAAAAAAAAAAAAATTAGGAACAATACATAGGTATTCACAAAGTTAAATTACAAGAACAAATGTTTTGTACACTCAACTGTATAAGAAATTGAGCAACAGCCTCATCTGAATACCATTCTGGAAGTCTCATCTTCACTCTAAACTTCTCACCTAAAAAGCAAGAACATTCTGCCTTATTTAACATGTTGTTCAGATCATGAGGCCATTGTTTGTAAAGGCAAAAGCAAACCACAAGCTAGCATTGAGGTTTCCATGGCACTAGTAGAGCGGACATGATGTATGGGACTAGATGGAGAGTGCATGATGTCTGTAAACCTGTAATACTAGCATTGAGGTTTCCATGGCACTAGTAGAGCGGACATGATGTATGGGACTAGATGGGGAGTGCATGATGTTTGTAAACCTGTAATGCTAGCAATGAGGTTTCCATGGCACTAGTAGAGCGGACATGATGGATGGGGCTAGATGGGGAGTGCATGATGTCTGTAAACCTGTAATGCTAGCAATGAGGTTTCCATGGCACTAGTAGAGCAGACATGATGTATGGGCTAGATGGAGAGTGCATGATGTCTGTAAACCTGTAATACTAGCATTGAGGTTTCCATGGCACTAGTAGAGCAGACATGATGTATGGGACTAGATGGGGAGTGCATGATGTCTGTAAACCTGTAATGCTAGCACTAGTGATCTAGCAAACCAGGCAAAGCTGCCAAATGGCAAACAAAGGTAAAGGAAACATAATAATCAAATTAATGGGTACTTACTTCATGTAGAGGACAAAGTCAAAGGACAATGTCCTCTATTGTGTCCTTGACACAAAGGTATATCCCAAATTAACATTAGGTTCTTTACATAACTCAATTCAACTCTGTTTTTACCTATGTATTCCAAAACTTTTCTCTGATTAGTTGCTCCTTCCTCTTGTGCAGTTCTTAACATTGTTGCAACACAACTGTTTCAAAAAATGACAAATAAAAAAATATCTTCAAGAGCACCAACCTAAAACCCATTTGGCCAGAAAAGTGCTGATTTTGGCCAGACATTTTCCATTGCCCAGTCGTTTATATTTTGCCACGAATTTAGAAACTCATTTTTTCTCATCATTTATACACTTGAAAAATTCAATTCTTTATTCATATAACTTAGTATCCCAAATTGCTCTCTTCCAACTTACTCTTTCAGGAAAGTATTGTCTTCCTCTCCTCTGATCAGTTCTTTGTAAATGTGTTGGTCAGTTGTGTTTACAAGTGCCTGCAAGGAAGAAAATAACAGACATAAAGTGAATGAATGAAAGACTGTTGCAAATCGAAAAAACAAAAATACAAAGGAATTGTAATGCACTATGGTCTAAAAACATAGTATGAACTAACCTTTAAGATAAATACAACGGGAACATAAAATAATTCTTTTTGAAATCCAAATGCCATTGTTACACTTCCATCAGAAAGATAGTGTAGAACCATATTCTGAAACGGGTAAACAAATTTTCTTTGTATCACTGGGCTTCCTGTGTCAGTCAGGGCACCACAGGAACCCCCCAAAGGAAGAATTCCTTTTATCTCAGTTCAACATGATGGAAATGACACCACCCCTCTATAGTTCTACTTACAACAGCAGTTTCATCTTTTCTCACTGAACGCATCTGAATACCATACTCTGTGTACAGTGGACCTCTGTTTTTCCACGTAGACCTTACAAGTGCCAGAGGCTGGAGAGAAATGAAAGATTTTAATTACACAGCAGCAAATTTCCATTATTTAACAAAACAACACTCGTAAAACTTTCTATGTTACTGGCAGCTGCAAGTCAAGTCCAAGTTCTTTATTTATACACATATAAATATTTCTAATTATAGTGAAATGCACTTCACAGTAATGTCATGTTATTATGAGATAAATAATTAAATAAAGATTGTGCAGGGTGTGAACCAGAATTTAAGATATGCATGTCTTACAAGACAGTGTGTTATCAAAACAAGTAAAACCACTTACATAATTCCTTCTGGGCAAAATTAACATTCTTATAATCTTTTCAATTCCATTTATAATAAAGTATCCACCAGCTTCCTATTAAAGAAGAAAACAACTCAAGTTTAGTATTTTAGAAAGATAATGAAGATCAATGAGGTATCACTAAAACTTCCATCAAATTTATTGATGCATACCTCTGCTTCTTCATGGTGTCGTACCAATTCTTCTGGGGAAAGTCTGGCCAAGGAACAATTATCAGACTACRAAACAAAAACAGGTTTAATTCAAAATTAATTTCAAACAGTACATGTATACCAGCAATTCTCCCAAGGGGGAGGGGTATAAATCATAGGTCTTTGACCTGAGTTAACTATTTCCTGGGTATTGTGACAAAAGCAATTAAATACAGTGGAGTGCCGATCTCAAAATTCTCCTTATCTTAAGCTTGAGACCACATCCCATGGATTTGTTGCATCACTACAATTTTACCCTGGATATCTTAAACCCCTATTTTTTCAAACCTTTTCCCCGGCCCTGGGAAGCTCAAGATAACAGGACACCAAGTTTCTAGTTTAATATGAAAATTAGAGGATACAATGTACATTTACAAATCAACACCACCCTGTAAAATTGTAAATAACTAATCCACACTCTACCTGCACCTCTTTAAATTTCCAGTCTTCTTTGAAAAAGGTGTTGTGTATTTATGAATAAATAGCTCATAATGACATTAAAATAATGTTGTTAAAGGTACAAAAGTAATTCTATACCTTGACCATCATTGGTACATAAGCTATAACCTTGGTTACACTTCCTTGTGGTTCATTATCTACCTTCCATTGTACTGTCACCTGGATTTTGGATTTATAACTTGAGCCGCTTTCACGGCACTACAGAAAAATAAGAATACAAATGTAATATGACAGATTTCTTCCAGCAAAAAGTAGTTATAATTTCATTTATTAACGAGAATCAATAATTCAAATGATTGTAAGACTTCCAGTAATAACACAGGTAACCACCCTAAATGGTCAAAATCTTTGTACATGTATTGAATATCTTCTTACCTCTGTTGGGAAAATTTTCATCTGAGATGAATACACATTGGTGTCTGAAATAGTTGGCACACCTATACTTGCATCCTGCATTCAAAAATACATAACTCATGATTAATAACATCATCATCAATATAAAATCATGTTAAAGTTAAAAATTAATGATGGCAATTGAACTGAGTGGAGTGCAATTTGGACCAAAATCATACGCGTGATTACAAAATTGCACGACCCCATAGCGGAAGTGCAATTTGTTAATCACAAGTATGATTTTGGTCCAAAATTGTACAACACGAAGTTCAGTTACCACTTAATCATATCCTTTTTGTAATCATACACAAGAAAAAGACATAATAAAGAGTGCAGAATAATCAATTTAATGTAGAAGAAGAAGTAAATCAATCAGGTTTTTCCTGGTATAAAATAAACGATTTATCAGTAAATCATTTAATACTCATAAATATGCTTATCATTATCTTCTCTGATTGGCTGAATATAAGAATTCTTTTCTGTGATTGGTTCTTTCAAAAAGATGCAATTAAGAGCTCCTAAGGATGCAATTTGGGAATTAATCGCACTCCTTTGAACCAATCAGATTGCAGGACTTGGTAGTGATTACAAAAAGGATATGATTAATTTTTTTAGCGAAACAACTTACAGTGAAATACACAGATACTCTTTGTCCTCCAGCTGTCATTAACTCACTAGGTGGTATTCCCTTTTGAATGAAATAAAAAAATAACTTTAAAAAATACTGTACACTAATCAATTACAAGGGGGTTTACATTGACTAGTGCATAACTAGAAAGCAATCGTTATTTTCTCTTTTACCTGAAACTTGTATATGCAACAGTGCTGCGAGAAAAGTTTCATGGTGGTGTTACATGGTACGATATTTTTGTGAAACTGCTATCACCCACCATGTTTACGCCGCCTGCTGGCTGAGAATGTTGTGCTCTGATTGGATTGTTCACTGAGGCATGTTAAAGAAAGTTTCAAGAGGGATGTTACACAGTGCAATTTAGTCCTAAACCTTGTTTGTGACACTACTCTTGGTTGCACGAGTAGAAAGCAGTTCTATGTACTTTTCGTGTAACTTTCTTGCAACAAACGTTTCACAAGGTTGGGGTATTACACTGTGCAATTTGTTCTGAAATATGTCTCCAATGCTGTAGGTCTTTTTAATACCCTAACCTTGTCGTCCAGTCATTAAATTTGCTTCCCTAGCTGGTGAGGGCCTCTCCCCTGATAATTACCCACACACATGGAAAATAAAAATGTCTACATCTTTTATCAAGCATTCATAATCAAAAAAAGATATCATTTTCKAATAATTACCTGCACAGCAAGTGATAATCCCTCTTCTAACATAAAATTGAAAGACTCGATGTGTGGACGAACAAGATCCTGCATGGACTGAGACCACGTGCAAAGCAAAACATTATGAAATTCTTGCAATTAGAAACACATAATCACCAAGAAAATAATACCGGCAATAGGAAATATGTATASAGATACCTTTTCTTGTTCGGCAGACAGTCGACCATAATTTTTTGATGATAATTTTTTTAAAGAAGGAAGGGGCTTCGCTGTTTCTTCTTTCTCTTCGGCGGCCATCTTGAAAATAGAAAACCACGCGAGTAAATACACAGGAAACCCAAACTTGAAAGAGAAAAGACACAGGTATCCCAATCGATAAAGGATCAGCTCTTCTTTCCCAGTCTCTTATCGTCGCAGATAGTTTTACCGCCATTTTCAATATTATGCTTTAAAATTTGATCCAACTTTTTTCACCATTTTGTAGGATTCATTCACGAAAAATTGTTCAATATGCCTCGAGAAATCATAACACTACAGGTTGGGCAATGTGGCAATCAAAGTAAGTTGTTCATTCATTGTTTTGGTGTTGTTTTTTTTCCACTTTCTCGAAGTCCTGTGAGCTAACTTCGTCTTGTTATAATTTCTTGATATTGTACAGTTGGGATGGAATTTTGGAAGCAGCTTTGCGCAGAACATGGGATTCGACCAGGTAAATCTAATTTATGGATCAACAAGTTTCTAGTGTTAATRATCATTTGGCTCTGTGTATTTAATTTTCTTAATTATGAATTTTTTTCCAGACGGCATCCTTGAAGATTTTGCTACTGATGGGACAGACAGGAAGGATGTGTTCTTTTACCAGGTCAGAAAAAACTTTTAGGTGTTTATGGGGATAATATTAAGCTAATTACTGTGACTTTGAAGGTATTTTACTTAGCATGGACAGCATATGTTGTACATTTTAGTATTATTTTGCAAAAGTGGTGATAAACTCCACTTTTTTCATCTAAATTTTTCATTTTTCATCTTATAGGCTGATGATGAGCATTACATCCCAAGGGCTGTGCTCCTTGACTTAGAACCAAGGGTACGTCATTTAGTAAAGAACATAAATTGGACATACCAATCAATGTAAAATGAAACCCAGCCAATCTGCACACATTACACTTTGAAATGATTATAATGATTATTTGAATATGGCATAGGTTATAGATGCTATCATGTCGTCACSTTTCTCTAATCTGTATAATCCTGAAAACATTTACACATCTCAACATGGTGGTGGTGCTGGAAACAACTGGGCAAGTGGTTACTCACAGGTATGCAGAGATGAGATGTGATTATTAGATAAAGTGACTTACATATAATATTATATGAAATCACTTAACAGTAAACTATTTCACAATACCCTTCACTCACATTCATTGTTATTAAAAGATGAGAAAGAGTTGATCTAGTGCATTGGAAGGTGGTAAAATATGAAAGAACTGTTTGTCTGTATACAAATTTTCTCTTTAATAGGGAAGGATCAGTAATTGGGTCACCAACATTCTTCCTTGGTGCTGATCTTGGGAATGTGTTGAATGACAGTTCGCCATCCACTTTATACTGGCATCAGAGGACCAATAGACCTCCTAAGCTCAGGTGTAATGTTTTCCCATTTCAGACCATGTGTCATTCACTATAGTATCATTTCTTTGTTTAACAGTTGCCCTTAGTTGCATACAAGAAGACATGTAAATATAGATACAATTCAAACAAAGAATCCTATTCTCAAGGGAAKGACACTTAATCTTCTCCTGAGCCGAGGAGGTTTATTGGACACATACCTGCATGTCCAGTATGTCGTACTTTTATTATCTCTTGATTTCTATATTGTGCTTCATTTTAGGGCATTGGAATAGTTGTAAGGGCTTGTTGTTACAACCGTAACTTCGGGAATAAAATCATGGAAAAAAATACTAACTAATAATATCATTGTAGGCAGAGAAACTTCATGAAGAAGTCTTTGACATAATGGACAGAGAAGCTGATGGGAGTGATAGCCTTGAGGTAAGCAAAATAATACAACAAGAATATACACTGAAAATATATAAAAGAATCATTATCTAACATCCTCAAAAATACCTGCAAATGGTTAGACCTTTGCATCTCATGGTCTTATCTCATTAGGTATTTAGTATAGGGTGCCACTATTTTATCACCAGTGATAGTCAAATGTTGTGAACTTTTTCAAACTTGCTTTTCTTTTACTTACTTTTTGATTGATATTCCTCATGATAGGGCTTTGTGATGTGTCATTCTATTGCTGGTGGAACAGGATCTGGTATGGGATCATACCTACTTGAAAAGCTAAATGACAGGTAAAATGATAAATCTGGTACCTTTCCTCTTTAAGATAAAAACATATACAGTATGATACTCTAGTTTTGAGTTCTCTGTTGCTCAGGGCTACCCTCGATTTTGTGCACAATATTTTATGTGTTCCAGTGGAGGTCTGTGAAACTTCAAAGTGTTTGTATCTTTGAAGTTGTGCATTCTTTACTTTATTGTTTTTATTCGTTAATATTTAGACACTGATATGAGGCTAACCCTGAGTAATTGAGTTTGTGATTATGGAACACAGCAGTAATTTGGAACTAGAAAATGGTCTATTTGGTTCCCTTGAATTCTCAATGTTTTTTATTGTTTTGATTCTGAGGTAGGTATTTAGTGCAGGGGAACTATGCCTTGTCCTGATAATTTTCTTTTTATATTTTATACAGATACCCTAAGAAGCTGATTCAAACATACTCTGTTTTTCCACAACAGGTATGAAGTATTAATATATGGAAATACTTTAATATGTTGCCAGTGCAGTGGATTTCACAAAAAAAAGAATGCACAAAAATTATATAATAGCAGTAATTAGTAAACATAGTATGTCCCAAGACCAGTCATTAGCAAAGTACCATTTTCTCAAAAATGTTTTTTCATCACATTTTAGGAAGATATCAGTGATGTCGTCGTTCAACCATATAATTCCATCTTGACACTCAAGAGACTGACACAGAATGCTGATTGTGTGGTAAGCACTGTAAACTTTATCTGTAGG